ACTTCAAATCTATCTATCTACCCCGAGACAGAGGTTCGATTTTCGTGTATTGTGAGGGGCGAAATGCCTCAAATTTTGTATGTTTCAGTCCCCAAATTAATCCATGGTTGATCGGTCATTTAGATTTGACCGATTTAATGGAAATTAAATCCCATTTTCTCTCTTCTGTGATTACTTTACGTGTCTACGTGACTATTAAAGGTCATCTTCACTCCATACAAATACTTATCTATTATTTTATACCCCAGATATCCATAATTTAGGGTTCTCCCGGATTGCAAATCGGACCATTCAGTTCTCCACTACTAAAATCACTCATAGTTAAGTCAGGTGTTGGTGATGGTCGAATCACTGTCTCATCTGTAAAATTCAGTTTGAACAATCCATCCGCCTCCATCAGCTTTATTTGGTGATGGACAAATTTGCCCGTTCCTAGTTAGATATCACAACTAACCGAGACAGTTCGTACATGGTTCACCACCCAAACCAAAAACCAGTCCTGGTGCCCTTTTACGCAAACTATTGAACATAAATATACTCCAGAATGTGATTTTGTATCGGTGCATTTCAGAATCTCAGCTGGGTTTGATCGGATACATCATGATGAACGTGTGCTTACATTTACAACGCTGTTCGGTAGTATAACGGTATAACGTGTAAGATTGCGTATCCGGTGAGTTTGGTCTCCGAAAGTGGCCGCGCGCATATCCACCAAAATAAGCGCCTTTTTCGGATCAGGAATAACCTGTTTAAATATTTCTCTTCCGCCAGATAACAGTCATATTCTAAAATGCACAAGTTGAAACAATAGTTTTATCACTGCTAACTAGAAGGTAGGAATCAATCCAGGGTGGAGACCTGCAATTGTTTTAATTACTTTGTGTATTTCCAGTCGTCAAGAACGGCGATAAATATTGTATCACTCGGAACGATCGTCACTGAATTGGTTACCCATTTGGTCCACTGGAGATCACAGACACATGGTTTTGAGGATTGGTTTCCTTTTAATTTTTGTCGGGGTCTCACTCTCTCAGAGATTTTGTTTGCTTCCAATAAATGTGATTGATCTAATCTTGTGTAACGACCGGCAAAGCTTACTTTAACGGCTTCCCTAGCTTTGTCGTGGATTCGTCGTCGACGATGGCAGTCGCATGTACTGTACTTGTTGAGAATCATATTACTGGCTCTCTGAATGGGAGCCGAAATATGAAAATCGTTTCACAGTCTCAGGTGTTTGCGAATCCACGATGACTGAGCCGAGGTGTGCTATCCACTGAATGCGACTGGAAAAAAGGGTCTCGTCTCGCGAACCAAAGGCTCCTGATTCGAGTCCTGACCAGGAGAGGGAGCGGGGAACCAATCTAAGCAAAAATTCGCGCTGCTGCTGAGTACCAATAGGAAGAGAGTAACCACCCAGTGCTCTTCATCGGCCACTAAAATTTCCATGAACTGTGTTAAAGGAATAAAAAAAAGCGCTAATTGATTTCCCTGTCGACGAAAACAACCCAAATGAATTTTTGTTCGTTATCCCCTATTGTGTATCAATAATATTTCATATAGATTTCGACTGAAAACAATCTATGTTGGGAAAGGAGCTTGCGTGGAAACTTCACTAGATGTTTGGCTCATAACTGGAACAAGGATTCCAACGGTGTGATGATGAGCGCAAATAGATTATCCAAGGTGAGTGTTCTGTGCGAGACGGAATGTTAGTCGAATGACAACCGCACAGAAAACAAAGTTGTGAGTCTGAATTCAATGTGAGGACACACAGAAAATCAGCACAATATCGAAGTTCCAGGATGCACTTTAGTTGTTGTTGTTGTTTTGCATCACACCACATGCGTGAAATCATCACACGATCACAAAACATGCATAAACAATTGTTACACCCCGATGTTGTTGTTTGTTGATGTTCCCTTTGTTATTGCTGTTATTCGTACATCCATCTACCCACACGATTCTACACGCCCAGGTGAATCTGGCCGAGATCAGTGCAGTTCGCAGTTGTTTTACCCCGGTCAATTTACTCGTTTGTCGGTTCGCATTGGACGGGATTGAGTTGGGAGCCGGGTCGGCGGAACAGCCGTTCGAAGTAAACGATTATCGCGGACCGGTTTCATGCGATCCGCAATCGGGTGACTTGTCTCAATCCGGTCCGCAACCGGCGTGGATTATTGAACTGAAAAAGCGCGCGGAATTTCAGGATCATCATGTCTGTTTCAAACCGACCGTGTTCTACACGGTTTCGGGTAAGTTGCGAACACCCTGGAGAGCCTAGTGTCATCTTATCTGGAAAATCTTTTTTCTCTCTCCTGAAAACTATCACATTTTGATTAGAACTGTACTCTAGTTCGGAGATAACTGTTTATTTGTTCATAACTAAGGGTTGTTGCGCACATCACTACAAGCTTTTCGGATTATGGTGCTCTTTTCATCTAAGGAAAACTCTTAAACGAAATATGAGCCTGCGCTATCACACCGAACGGATCGATATTATCATGTACATCTTTGTGTCACATTTCTACCTGTTCCATAATGATTTTTCTTTATATTCCGGTGAGACACCATGACCGATCTGGCCAGAATTGAGTTTATGTTCAAAACACTGACTGACAATGGCTGTCACGTTCACATGCACTGATTCTGATATGAATACATCAAGTCAGACTGTGAAAGTCTGCATATCCAACAGAAGCTGATTGCGAATTGCAAACCAGTGAACAGTAAATTAAATCGCTAAGAGTGGATGCGGTGTCATATGAACTAACTAACGCCAAAAAAATTCCCCCTTTCCCGAGACGGATAACGACGGGTGTTGGAAAGGCTAGTATCTGCGAGAAATGCCGGCGGTCAACGACTGACGTTCTCAAAATTCGCTGTCACCGTTTGGTGGAGGGGTTATAATTAGCGAAACTTCTAATTCGGCTTGTTTCCACAAACAAAGTTTCGTTGAATTCGTAACCTTAATCGATCAATTTGAACGAACTGTCATCATCAACGGAATCGTCTATTTTGAGAATAAAGCAAAATGGGCTGAAAATATCTTTTTAAAAATTTCTTCTTCAGTTTAATGGATCTCCTCTTCTTTACTTCTTTATTCTTTCAAATTGGTTCGCTTTGTATGATTAATTACATTAGCATCTCATTTAATCCATTTGAGTGGGAATAAATATGAAGTTCAAATTTCTTATCAAGACTGAAAGAAGACACATGTCGCGAGTTGTTAACATTTCGTTTAATCTTCTCAATCGCTGATGTAAAACAAACAAGCACCTTTTTATCACATTTGATTTGTAAATCCTAGTGAAAGGACATGTACAGTTAGAAAGGAGCTATTAGAATTAAAAAATAGGTCAACTCTATGGCAAGTGAACTGATTGCATCAACAACTTTTGGGCGAACAGAACGGGATTATGTAATCTGATTAGAAACGCCTCACGCATTGCCAACAGTTTTGCATTACAGTTACGTAACAACGGTTCGAAAGAGGAAGCGGGATAAATTGTGTTTGGTTTCCATGAGGTGTTTTACAGTTGATGATCCCAGGTTATGTGTGACCGCCTGATTACTAGGCGTGGGTTGAGTTATCGACTTCACCAACCATTTTGGTGACCCTAACGTGCGTGTGATCGTTTGAACTACTTGATGAGCATATTTCTATGCGTGATTAGACTGAACTGTGTGACACTACAGACCCGGTCAGTTCGTTCGGGTTCGGTTTTGCGTCTAACTGACTTCCTCCGGTTCTATCTCGCGTCTGCGCCATGCTTTTCGGTCACCAATTTATGGTTTACACTGGTTTTCACGCTATCCATATTAGCCACACCCTCGATAATTCGACTACTGGGCTTGAGTTTGGCATATACTGTTACCCACAGCCAACTATAGTGACGGTCAACCAACTATGATGTTATAGAGCTTCGTTATCACCTGACTGAAGTGTTATACGGCTCTTGATTTCATATGGCAAAACTTTGGTTGCCAATTTTCCAAATCAAATGCTAGGTACACTTGATTATACGGTTACTCCTTACTATTGGTCACTAAAATAGGGAACCAAATTAAGTAGATTTATAAACGATTTTTATTTCGTACCATTTTACGATACACTGTAGCAAATGTTAACTCCTATGAAATGAAAAACGTGTAATCTTGCCTGTATTGATAAATCAAAAGCAATAATACACANAACCAAACAATCATATACAAGCCATTATTGCACCACAGCCCGCTTCGCGAAGACTACATATTCGGTGATATGTGATATTTAGCCCTTTTGCGTAAACAAATTTTATTCATCACTATCAGGTTAGTCGTACAGACTTCGTTATTCGATCAATATCCTGACATATCCTCGGAGGTTGGTATTTGTCTCGTTATTTTTATTTTAGTTTGATAAACAGCAAACAGGGTGAAACGCGTGGATAGAAAGATTTATGTTTTGGTCATAGAAACACGTGATTCAAGTCGTAAACTCCTGAATATGTAGCCAAACAAGGCATCGATCGGATAGAGATAGTCTTGAGTCTGGCGGCTGCGAAGCTCTCCATCTCCAAAATGAAGATTGGGATCAGGATATTGAACCGATTTCCTGCTAAACACAACAAATTCAACCTCTGAATCATCACCACCAACACGTCGTCGGGGTTTATTACATTTACTAAACCCGTATGAATCGACCGTCTCGCAAAACGTTACGCGCTCAAAACGGACAAAACAGTCTAAATAACCATTCAATTAGCGTTGCGAATGCTACTTTCTACTATATTGTAAGGGATACAAAAACAAGGTCTTGCAAATAGAATTTTTCTGCCCCATCCAAGTATGACCGGTGACCTTTGACCTTCGTGATTATCTTGTCAGCCAGACCCATCATTGTCCCGATCTAACTTTCATTGATTTGTTTGAACTCAACGGAAGAGATGACGTGAAATAGTTGAATTCAACCTGTCCTGTGGTTGATAGTGTGTGCTCTGACTGTTGGAACACGTCATGACAACTGACCTAATTTACGCCTTCTTGGCTTATTTCTGCTACTTGCCAGTAGCAGTAGTAGCAGTTTCCCATGAGAAAACGATCATTGAGCATCACACACGACCCTCCTCCTTCCCGCTACGATGCACGCATTTTCAGCTTTTAGTCGTAATCCATTTTAGTCTAGTTTGCCATTTCGATGCTGAAGCCGGTCACAGGCCAAGTTAGCAACGGTCACGGTCGTGGACGAGCATGCGATTTGCAGATCAATACCGTGGTGCATCAATCACACATGCATAAAACACACGAAAGG